CTCACTAAGATGGTTTGGATCATGTGGGTGGAGTTCTCATGAATGGGTTAGCACCACCCTGGCCAATGCCTAACTATAAATCTGCCTCAGCATAGCTGAGGCCTCAGGAAACTTACAGTCGTGGGAGAAGGCGTAGGAGGAGTGAGATGTCTCACATGGCCAGAGCAGGAGGAGAGGAGAGGGGGGAGGTGCTACACACTTTTAAACAACCAGATCTCGCAATAACTCACATACTCACTATCATGAGAACAGCACTGAAGGGATGGTGCTAACCCATTCATGAAAACACCAACCACATGATCCAATCACCCCCCACCAGGCCCCACCTCCAACACTGAGGAACACAGTTAAACATAAGACTTGGTAGGGGGGACACAGATCCAAACCATATTAGTGAGCCAAACTCTACTTTTTACCTCTGAGATTCACATGTTCATAGCCTCATGTCACAGAGTAGAAAGAGCACCTGATTTTGAAGTCAGAGAGATCTGAGTTCAAATCTTAGTTTTGCTACTTATATACAGTGGGACTTTGGGCAAGTCAGTTAACATCCGTGAACCTCAGTTTCCTCATGTGAAAAATGGGGATAAAAATGCCTATCTTGCTGGGTTGTGGGGAGTGTTTATAAAGCTAATATGTGCAAGGTACCTAACACAGAGTCAAATGCCTAGTAGGAACTCAACAAATGGCAGCTCTAGTTAAGCATTCATGATTTGGTCTACAACCATCAACATGCGATGAGATGGCTGATTTGCTGGCAACATTCAAGCAAAAAAACTATTTAGAGGGCATCTTTTTCTTTTCCTGAGAAAATAGTATGTCTCTTCAAGTTATTTTTGAAAGTAGATAAGTATAAATTTTGAAAACCAAAAATCAAAACAAATGTCCAACCTTGAATTTCTCTTCCAATTATCAGTTGACCCATGACCTAGATACAGCCCTGAACTTCTCTGCAGTGAATCTAGTGATTCCCAGCTCTCTCCTCCTGCCCCTCAGAGCTATAAGAGAGGCGAGGCCATGTTTCTTCATGGCCTGCCATCTAACTGCATGGGCAAGCCAACCAACCAAATCTATTTTGTTTCATGATGATAGCATCTTTCCAACTTGCAAGTAACTCAGCTTCTCCTCTTCTGTGGGTCATGTCAGCAATCTCAACCTAGTCAGGCTAACAGGTCCGCTAGAATCTGTGGTCACCTCCCAAAATTCATTTGGTGACTCAACAAAGCTGTTTGGCTGTGAAAGCAAACTCCTAAGTCCCCAACCTCCGAACTGCCTTCCCTGACGGAAAACTGGAAGATCACATGGTGTGGTGAAATAAACAACTTTTTAAGTCATGTTTAAGTAAGACTTGCTCGCTTTCATTTATAATTTAAGCTTTAAAACACCTGTGATCCCAGGCAAAGTGGCTCACACCTGTAATCCCAACACTTTGGGAGGCTAAGGCAAGAGGATCACTTGAGCCCAGGAGTTCAAGACCAGCCTGGGCAAAATAGTGAGACCCTGCCTCTACAAAAAAATTAAAAATAGCCAATCACAGTGGTGTGTGCCTGTAGTCCCAGCTACTTGGGAGGCTAAGACTCAAGGATCACTGGAGTCCAGGAGTTCAAGGCTGGAGTGAGCCATAATCACACCAAGAATCTTCAACCTGGGTGACAGAGCAAGACTTCATCTCTAAAACAACATCCACAAAAACCATGTGAGCCTCAGTCTTCTCATCAGTAAAAGGATAATCGTATCACCCACTCTGTGTGTTCATTATCAGAAACAAATGGGATGATGTATTTTAAGCGCTTGATTCTCAAATGCTGGCTCCCTCTTTTGTGCTTATCACTACTACAACCACCGCCCAACCGCTCTGGAGAGAGAGTTTTCTGGAAAGCCTCTATGCCCAAATGGGCTAACAGGAGGGTCATGACTGCATCTGACTTAATTTTCTTTCAAGTTAAAACTTGATTTGGGCTGTGTTTAAGAAGAATGCACAACTTGTCAGGCAGTGCACCCCATTTTAAAGGAATCACCATTCCCACCAACTTGTTTCTCCCCCTCTTTCCTTTTCCTGTCTTTCCAGTCAATTCCAGCCCCTCTCCCATTCATTCTCCCCAACCACCATTTCAGCCTTCCTTGCGGCCGCCCACTAATGGGCAAGGCCATCTCAGTAATGCATTTCTGTGCCTTTAGCTATGCCATCACTTTGATGAAAGATTTCCTTGGAGCACCCGCTCCTTCCTCAGCTGCTTCCACCCTCTGCCATGTACACTCAGCCGCGTGATAATGCAATCACTGTGTCTGTGTGAAATGAACAGACACACTAACACAAAGTTTCATAACCAAAGCAGTCATGCATCTCCCCACCCACGCACCCCACACACACACCCGGGGCTCCTCCCTCCATCCTGCCCTGTCCCCAGGGGCATACAAAGAAGACTGCTCCCCAGACAAGTGACCAAAAGGCTTAACGCAGGCAGGTGGCAGAGGAGGCCACAATACCTATTACCTGCAAATGACCATAACTGCTGAGAGAGCAGTGCCATCTCAGAGCCTATGTAGCCAAAGGTAGTAAGGCTCTGCCTCCGGACCGGGCCAATGCCTCACTGGTGGATTGTGGGGTAGGAGGCTGATAGGGCAGTAACAGGGTGACCTCAGACTCTAAAAATCACTCAGCTCCTGGCTCCATCATCATCTGGGACTGTCCTAACTCAATCCATATTTATTGCCATGGCATAACTAGGTCCCCTAAGTGGTTGTCTATCTTCAGCTTGATACCTCCAGGGTCCTGGTGGGCAGGGTTGCATGATGGTTAGGAACACAGGTTTTTTAGTCAGACAGACCTAAGTTCACATCCAGCCTCTGCTACATACTGGCTGTGATTCTGCCCATTCCTTAACCTCCCAAAGCTCTGGTTTCCTTAACTGTAGAGTGGGGTAATAAATATACTTACTTCTTAAAGCATTAGGAGGGTTAAACAAGATAAAGCAAGAAAAGTACTCTGCATAGTGGGCATTCATGACAGTAATTAATAATCATATGAATGACAATAAACATTTATTGAGGACTGTGTCAGGAACCAGATCAGGTACTGAGAATACAGAGATGAGAAAGACGTTGTCTCATTATAGAGAAGACTGTTATAAAAGCAGGTGCTAAGACAGAAGTATGCATAGGGAATATGGAGCACAGCTCTACTTTACAATTCTTCCTCATAATGCACCAAAATGTCTTTCCCTGACTCTCTACCCACTGACCTGAGTTCAGCCCCCCAGAGCATCTCAAATCACTCCAATCCCTCTTCCACATGACAGGCTTTCAGCCTCTTGAAGACCGCAAATCATGCCTCTCCCCAAGTCCCCTCTTTTCTAGGTTAAATAGTCCCAGTTCCACTCTAAAAATAATAAGCCTACCTTATCTCTCTACATGCCTTTCTCCAAGGAACAAAGCTATATTACCGGCCCCAGCTCATCCACCTTCTCAGCACCAAGAGCCCACAAAGAAAGGAAGATTTACCTGCCCCAACCCAGACCTGATACTGAGAGAAATTCAATTCCATTCAGGATCTCCCCAGAGTCTCCCAGCAGAGACACCTCAAACCCCAGCACAGAATCACAATCCTGTGATTGTGGCCCACTTGTCTGCAAATACATCTCACCAACCTTGGCTGGACTGACATCACTGCCCAGCTCATAACGTTGAGGAATCAGAAATCTGGGGGAACATCTGAGATCACCTGCACCGGGGGTCCTCATCTCTGGCTTGATGATAGAACCACCTGGGGGGTGTTTAGTAGAGACACCAATGCCCAGGTCCATGCACCCTCACGAGAAAGTCTGATTTAATTGATCTAAGGGCCTGAGTATCACTATAGTTTTCAAAGTTCTCCAGGGCATTCTAATATGCAGCTAAGATTAAAACCCATGCATCTTAGTTCAACATTTCCTTTTGCACTTGAGAAAACAGCCCAAAGAGTGGAAGTGAATTGTCCAAGGTCACAAAACTACTTAGAGGGAAAAATAGAATTAGAACTCCTGGCTTCTGACTTCCAATCTAGTATCTCTTTTACTAGGCTACCTGGAAATGAACATTCTGACTTAGGAACTGGAATCTAAGGGGTGTGCCATTGATGCCATAGATAAATCGATAACAGATCAAACTCTTCCAACCCTTAAAGTCCACATGTTAATCCCCCTTCTCTTTTATAAATCTTCCCTACTCCCCGTTTACATCTGTACCCTGTCTTAAAATGTGATGTCAAAATGCCATCCACAAAGGGAGAACTCTATTCAGTTTTCAGCCAAAAGAATTACACAGAAAAGAACCTCATCGTCAATCAAGAGCCAAAAGCAATTCTTAAAACCAAATTAAAGTCCTGTGCATTCAGCAAGGCCTGTTTAGAAATCAGACCTTCAGGTTCACTCCCCTGCTAGATAAAGGCTATGGGGAAAAAAAAAGCAACAGTATTAACATTCCAGAAATGCAATCTGAAATAAATAAGTGATATTTTCTGGCCAAGGTAATGCAAGGGTTTTCGTTCCCTATGTGTGGAGCTACTTTACATTTTAATAAATGCACATCGAGAAAATAATATTATTGCTCTGATATTGGGAGATTTGTGAACATAAAATATTAGAACTTGTCAGGAAGGCATTTATTTTCTTTTTCCTTCTTTCTCTACTGCAATATTCTTTCACCTAATAGAAGATGATTACAAAAATAATTACATCAAACAGTGGCCAGCACACACAAAATAAACGAGAAAAAATGAAGGTTATCAGGCATTGGATAACACACGTGAGCAGGAGAAAGCGCGTGTCCAAGCAGGGGGAGGTAATTGCACATCAATCAAATGATTGCAGAGTGGGTGGAAAAAATTAAGGCAACTAAATGGCTGCTGAATGTTCTGATCCCAGATGCAAATCAGAACATGGATCAGAACTCATTAGCCAAATTATCCATCTCCAATATCCATGTGAAAAAGCCAAGTTCTGTGTTGGAGAAAATCATCTTACCTTAAAACACTGCCGTGTGCGAGCCTGTAATCACGAAACATTGGGATCCATAGCCAGTTTCTGATGGTTCTGGGACCCCTGAAATGATATGTATTCACACATATGCATTTATCTGGAGATTCCATGGTTTTTAATATGTTTCTAAAGGAGTTCTTTATCAAATAAAAATTAAAAGGTAAGGGGGTGGACACTAAATTGGCCCACCCCTTTCATTTAAAAAAAAAATCAAATAAAAACTCCTCAGAAAGCAGTTTGGTAGTCCTGCAAAAATTAAACATAGAATTATCATATGACCCAGTGATTCCACTTCTAAGTATCTACCCAAGAGTACTGAAAAAATATGTTCACACAAAAAATTTACACAGATGTTCACAGCAGCATTATTCACAATAGCTGAAAAGTGGAAACAGCCCAAATGTCTAGCAGATGATGAATGAACAAAATGTGCTTATAGCCACGCCATGGAACATTATTCACCCCTACAAAGGAATAAACTACTGATGCATACGGCAACTGGGATGGAACCTTGAAAGCATTTTAAGTGAAAGGAGACGGATACAAAAGGCCACATGTTGTACGATTCCATTTATTTGGAGTGTCCAGTATAGGCGAATCCGTAGAGGCAGAAAGTGGGTTAACGGTTACCGACAGGGGGACAGAAATGGCAAGTGATGGGTATGGGGTTTATTCTGGGGTGATGAAAATGTTCCAAAATGAGGTCATGGCCATGGTTGCAAAATGTTGTAAATATACTTAAAAACTACTGAACTGTCTATTTTAAAGGGGAAAACTTCATGTTATATGAATAATACCTCTTTTTTAACGAACGTACTTTAAAAAGACTATCCCCTAAAACTTCCAAGTTCATGAGACAGTTAGTAGCAGAGCCAGATGATAGGATTGCATAGTGAACGCAAGTATGAGATCAAGAAAATTAATCTGAATTGACACCACAATTATTTATTCAAATACTGAGGGAGCATTTTTTCTATGCCAGGGGTGTCCATATAATACTCAACTACTGAGGGAGCATTTATTATATGCCAGGGGTGTTCATATAATACTGTAGTGAACAAATAGGCACACTTCTTGCCCTCTTAGGGCTGATATTCCAGCATGAAGAAGACAAGTTTCCAAATACACACCCAACTGTGTAAGTCCATCAGTGACGTGAGTTGTGAAGGAGACGTACAGGCAACGTGAGAGTGCGCAGGGGCTGACTGGGCTGGAAGGCTTGCTTGAGGAGGTGAGCTCCAAGGGGCCACAAGCATGCATGTTGAAGGAACTGAAGACCCATGTGGACAAAGGCACCAGAGAAGGACAGAGGGCATCGGCAGGTCCTAGAGCGGCAGGAGCACCTACGGTTAGTTAAGAATCCAGTGTTCCAGCCTGTTGGGTTCAGCTGAGGTGTGATCTGTTCCTGAAGCATCAGCCTGGTGGGGTTGTGGATCGCAGAGGCAGCATCCACATGCCAACAGCCTCTGGGAGGCTCCCGTGCTCTTGGCAGCCAGGAAAAGGCTCTGCGATCAGTGAACCCAACATGCGTGCAGCCCAGAGATCAACCAACTGTGGGGAGGGCACGGGAATGCAAACATGGACAAATGACACAACAGCCACCTTTGGACTCTGCAGGCCATTCCCCTCACAACACCTCAGGATAAAGGGAAGAGTAGGAAACCAAGCAAGTGGAAAACAAAGGAGATGAAGTGGGAAACCTGAAACATGAAAATGTTGTCCTCAAAGTCCAGTATGAAGGAGGAATATAGCTTCCATGTATGTGTGTGCATACCAAGGACGGCAAGGAGAAGGCAGACTGATGGATCAATCAGAAAGACCACCCTCGAAGAGTGAAAGCAGCCTAGTTTTACAAAAGCCATGATCCCTCAAAAGGAGTTAGACACTGAAAATGTCAATAGAATTGAGAAGGAAACGAATGGGAGAGGGTGTGGTGGTAGGAACAACCGTGATAGCAGCTAATATTCACCGGGCACTGTCAGCCAAGAACATTACATGCATTCTCTCATTTTATTTCCCCACGACCCTTCCCTATGACTATTCCCACCTCCCAGATTAGGTCTTTGTGGCTTCAGTTGAAAAACTTTCCCAAGGTCACACAGCTCAGGAGTGGAGCCAGATTTTAACATGGGCGGTCTGCCTCTTGCACCTGTACTCTTAGTCACTAACGCAAACGGTCTCTTTCCTCAAGAATCTTCATCACAGGCTGTTCAGAGGCTTTCAGAGGTGTCTAGCTTCCTCCTGAAGCTTGGAGATATATGTTGAAAAGTTCCAGCTTCCAAACCCCTACCCAAGTCAAACTGCTAAGGTCAAGAACATCTTGGTCTAAGTTCCACCTTAGGCTTCTGTGACAAATTATATTCTCAGTTCTCTGAGTGAGAAGCTTCTGCCCCCACCTGCATGATCTGGGGAGACCACTGAGGCAGCTTCAACTGTCTCAGAAAGAAACTGCTCTAAGAGAGGTGGAGAGCCCTCCAAGAGATCTCAGAGAAGGATGGATTTCTCCAGCAAGCCCCTGCTCTCCCTTGCCCTGTCTGTAGTCCTGGCACCTGCAGGGAAGAGAATACCTGCTTCAGACATGCATAGCTGGCTCCCTCTCCCCATTTGATTATAGCACCAGTGCTTGACATTTGTTGAGGGCCCTATCCCCACAGACTCCAATGCAAACATTCTCTCTCATCATCCCACATTCCCATGAGGTCGCAGGCTGGGCCAGGTTAGTCTATCATCCTAAGTATGTCCCTTCTGTCCTTGAGCCTAACGTGTTCATTTGTGAATATGAAGCATTGCTTGGGAAACTGTTAAAATCCTCTTACAGGTCAGACAAGGAGGCTCATGCCTGTAATCCCAGCACTTTGGGAGGCCAAGGCAGACAGATCGTTTGAGGCCAGGAGTTCAAGACCAGCCTAGCAAACATGCCGAAACCCCTGTCTCTACTAAAAATACAAAAATTAGCCAGGTGTGGTGGTGCATGCCTGTAATCCTAGTTACTCGGGAGGCTGAGGCAGGAGAATCGCTTGAACCTGGGAGACGAAGGTTGCAGTGAGCCGAGATAATGCCGCTGCACTCCAGTCTGGATGAAAGGGCAAAACTCTGTCTCAAAAAAAATAGTTAACAGCACAGGTTTTGGAGTCAGGTCAGGCCTAACTTTGTGACTGAAACAATGTGTGACTTTGGCCTCATTTACTTAACCTCCCTGAGCCTCAGTTTCTTCATCTGTAAAGGGAAGATGATCATTGCACCTTCCAACAACATTGGGTTGTTCTGAGGATTCGTTGAAGCCATCTACATAAAATTCTCTGTGCCCACTGCATCATCAGGGTTCTATTTTTACTTTTTTCTTTTTTTTTTTTTTTTTTCTTTTTTTGAGATAGAGTCTCGCTCGTCACCCAGGCTGGAGTGCTGTGGCACGATCTCGGCTCACTGCAAGCTCCGCTTCCCAGGTTCACGCCATTCTTCTGTCTCAGCCTCCCAAGTAACTGGGACTACAGGTGCCCGCCACCACGCCTGGCTAATTTTTTGTGTTTTTAGCAGAGACGGGGTTTCACTGTGTTAGCCAGGATGGTCTCGATCTCCTAACCTCGTGATCCGCCCGCCTCGGCCTCCCAAAGTGCTGGGATTACAGGAGTGAGCCACCGCGCCCGGCCTCATCAGGGTTCTATTAAAGTTAGCTGCTATTGTTCATAATTAACAGGAAAAAAAAAAACTGACACAGTAAGAATGTGTTGGAGCTGCGAGTGGCTCTCAACTTTTGCTGCATATTAGAATATCTGGAGAGCTCTAAAACCTTGTAGTCACATGCCCATACCAATTAAGTTGGAATCTCTGGCTGTCAGGTTTTCAAACCTCTAAAATAATTCCAATATGCAGCCAAAGTTCGGACCCCCCAGAATGGGATGCGATCCAAGATCCCAGTTCCAGCTGGATTTTTTACGAGTGAGCATGCATCAGAGGTCCCCCCAGAAAGGAGCTGCGCTTAGTGCAAGGCTGTCTGGTCTCAGGCACATTCCCCTGCCCCTCTCTCCCAGCAGGCCCCCCACACACTAACCTTTCACGAAGCCTCTCGGCCTCACATTCACTTCAGGTAGGCTGCAAAGGAGACCGTCCTCATACATGTCCCAAGGCAGGAATAACTCTGGTTGTTTAACCACGGTTGTCACACTCAGGAGAGACGAAAGGAAATCATAAATAATAGATGCTATATAAACAAGGTCCAATTAACCCAGACACCAGCCCGGGCGGGGAAGACGTGCATCAGCCCTCTCTGCAAGAGGCTAAGGAGAGACATTAGGGAAGCTGCCTGGAGCTTCACAGGTGTGGCTACAGAGCCTCTCCTTCCCAACCCAACCTCCCCCCGACCCCTTTCCTGAGGTCCGGTCTCACAGCAGGGCACAGGCACCCAACCTGGACTGGGCGGTGGTCAGCCCTTGCTGCAGTGCTCCTCCGTTCAGCACAATTCCACGCAGAGTTGAGTGGGCAGTAACTTTAGCCCTGTCTCCACGTTAGAGTTTTCCATTCCCCTAGCATACTAATTGCATCACATTTCTTTTCTGCAACGAATACCCCTCTGGCCTGATTGTTTCTGCTACCTACCCTGTACTCTGACCCACAGGGAGTCGTTTGTTTATCAGGACTAACGGCGAGTTGGGCTCCAGAGCTGCTTCTCCATCCCCTCCCCTCTTATCCTGGACACTGTTCTCACCAGGCATCCCCATCGCCCATCTCTACTCCAGAAGTGCACTCCCAGCAGTTAGGCCCCAGGAAATGCAAGTCACATGTGCCAGTTACCAGTTTGCCAGCAGGCCCAACGCTCTGCCTCCAGACAGCCCCCTGCCTGCCTCCAGGAGGAGTCCTCAGCCCCTCTGGGACCACCATCTCTTAGCCAGGGAGGGCTGGGAAGAGGGCTCCTACTGCAGCCACAGGATTTTGTGGACGGATTAGTCCAGGGTGATTATTGAGCTCAGAAGAAAGCAACTCGTGATTAAGGGAGCCGTTTGGGGAGGGAAGAGGCGGGAAGAGGAGGGGAGTTTCTCAAAACACCTGCCTGGGAACGCACTGGAGGAATGCCAGACGCGCACCTCCCACAGACAGAGGAAGGGCACCAGGGGCTAAACGTGGTGGAAAAGCAAGGTTAGTGAATTTAATGAGGTGATCTTAGGCAGCTTAATTCAGCTCGATAGCCTAGGGCTAGAGGAGGAGCCCCTGCGCAGGAAGTCAGAAGTTGGGCCTGCACTAATTAGATTTCACAAATGCTGCTGTTACTAAGCACGTTGTTCCAAATGCCTGCCAGGTGGATAGGAGTCTCCCCATGGGGGCTTCTGAGACCGCCCCCTTCAGCTGCCTCCTGCCTTTCTCTCCTACCTGTCCAGGCCCAGCACCGCCCACCCCCACCTCCAGCTGCATTCCTGGAATTGGCACCCAGCTCAGACTCCACCTGGGCCCACCCTGTCCCACCCCGTGGGGAGGTCCAAAGGGTGAGGGTGGAGCAGCAGCCACCAGCTCTGCCTCCTGGGTTGGTAAGAGACAGCAGGGCAGGCACGTGAGATGGTGAGAAAGGCTCTGGAGAGAGCTGACGTGCTTGTTCCTTGGGACCCTGATGCAATGGAGCTGGGCAGTTGCCCTAGTGCCTGGGTGGGTCCCTTTTCCCCAGATTTGCAGCTGCAGAGCTGACCCAGTAGTGATTTTCATCCTTGCAGTGGGTAGCAACCCTGTCTTGGCTGCAAGTGCTCAGCAACCCTCCCTATTCATCTGTGTACCCTGCAGGGCTAAGCAACTCGGCCCTTCAGCAAATCATTGAGGACTAAGTTTCTCCATCTGTAAAACAGCTCATTGCAGAAGGGACACAGCAGCAGGGACCCAGATCAAGCTCTTGCAGTAGGGAAGCTTCGTTTTGTCCTCACTAGCAGCTGCCCTAAGTGTTACAACTCAAAGGGCAGAGGAAGCCACTTAATGCCTACATGATAATAACAGCGATCAATTAATAATGGCAACAATGGTCTTTGAACATGGAGCACTGCTTCTCTCCAGCGGGAGCCCAGTTCCTGCTCCTGAGGGACCGCCCCACCTGCGGAGAGGCTGCTCCCTCCAGTGGAAGGAGGTGGTCATGGTCACCGAGAGCCAGCCCGGAGTCAGATGTGGATCTCTCCTTCCTGATCTCTCCTCCAGCCCTTCCCCTCCCAGCCAAGAGTTCTCATATTCACATTAGAAAGCAGCCCCAGCCCTAAAAAGCCCGTTCTGTCTGCCCAAAACCACACCAAATGTGTTATGGCGACTTCCTCGCCTTGCGCCTCTGGCCACAGCTTTTCTTTCCGTACAAGGAGGAGGTGGGTCAATCTCGGTTCAGCTACTCCATCATTTCCCTGGGTTTAGGGAGTGGAAGCCTCCAGGTATTTACCTGGCTTTGCCCCCCACCCCGCCCCATCCACTCTGATGACCTCCTGGGAGGCCCTAGCTACTCGTAAGCCCCACGACAAGCCCTGTGGTTGCTTCTTGGCTGCCAGAGAGAGCCCCTTGGAAGAGAACTGCTTAATAAGGATAAACATGTGGCATGCAGTTTACAAACCCTGGAATACCAGGCAGCGTGGTAGGCAGGTTCCGAAGCTGCTTACTTCAGCTAGAAAGCACCGCCCGGCCACCCCCACCCCTCCACATCATCTGAGCTTCCGTCCCTTCCCATCCAAGGTCCTCCCTTGACCCCCCCAAATCCCTTCCCATCTTTAATCAGTCTAAGCTTTTAAAGAAAGAAAAAAAGAGTGCAGAAGAAGGCCAGCATGTAGATGTATGGCACTCAGGGATGTTTTAAGCCCCTGCAGAGTTCAAGGAGAATGTCCCCAGAATGTGAAACATGCTCCCTCCCTGGGGTCTCTCCCCTCGCTGCCAGCCATGAACCAAGTTATGCAGCTTGGAAACTCTGACTGGAGTCCTCCGGTTCCCTCCCTGGAAGGTCCAGGGTCTCTGCCTGATATCAGCCCCTGGGGTATGTAAGGTCATCAGGGATGTGGTCTGGTGACCACCCCAAGGTGGGGATATGTGCAAGGCAGTTCCCAGGGAGCCCGGATTTCCCTCCCCAATGGCCCTGTGAAATCAACAACTTAATAATTCTTAACATTTACTGGGTCTGTGTCCAAAGGATGTGCATGTCTTAATTTGCTCCATCCTCACGACTCCATAAGATAGGTATTATTTCCCCATATTTTACAGACTTGGAAACTGAAACACAGAAAGATTAAATAACTTGTCCAAAGTGACACAGCTAGTAAGTGATACAACCGAAATCCAAACCCACACTCATAAACACCATAGTAAACTGTGCCTTCATAAAAATAATGTTTTCCCATTAATAATACTACCGACTCTGATTTGAGTGCTTTAGATGCTGGGTGCATGCTAAGAGCTTCCCATGGCTTATGTTGGAATTCTCGAAACAGGCTCTATGAAGCAAATATGATTATTAGCTCCATTTTACAGATGAGAAACGGAGGCTCAGGGAGATTGAATAACTGACTTAGTTACAGAGATAATGAGTGGTCAACTGGGATTCCTTCCCAAGATGGGCTGCATCTCTCTTGGCCACACCATGGCTCACTGCTCCCTTCCAAAGGGGCCAGACTGTGTGTCCTTTCCCTGAGCCAGAATGAACAGGAGGAACCTCCAAGCTTCCCTTCTGCCCTTTGTGCCTCTGATTTGATCCCAGAGGAAAGATGCAATGACAGGACTCCCTCTGCTTAACTCCCAAGAGGGACCATGTCCCCTGCCCTCCAGACCTCAGTCGCTACCCATATGCCCCATGCTTTTCCCACCCCATTCCCACTCCCAGCATCCCTACTCAACTCAGGCGGGACACACAGCTCCAGGCCCAGCATGACGGATATGTACGGCCGAGAATGGCGATGTATTTATTAAGCGAAACTGACAACTTTCATTAACCCAAGTAGACATTATTAAAACGCGCTGGTTGTCTCTGGGAAATGAAGTGCCCAGCACAGGCTGTGAGCAGAGCTCCTACTCGCATGCGCCAAGCTGCTGAGTGCGAGCTGTGCCTCCCTTCTGGCATCCTGAGTCTCATCCATCATGTCCCATGAAGTAGGTCCCATCCTAAGCCCCCACACCACTCCCTCACAGCAGTCACCACAGGACTTCTCCCTCTGAGCCTCGAGTCCCAGACCCGAGTGGCCTGAGACCTGGAGACCACAGGTGCTCCATTGCTCCCACTCCCTGCACTTGAAGATGAAGTTGCCCACTGGGCCCCTGATTGGCACATTATACCTGCCTGGGATCTTGGCAGTGACTAAGGAGGCACCAACTGTAGAGGTGACTTGATAAGATCCCAGGAGTCGGTTCTTAGATATCGTTATCCATGGGGCCCCAACCTGCTGCAGATGGGAGAGCAGGGAATCCAGGAGAAAAGCCAAGAGGGTGGGAGGAACCAAGGAGAAAGGGCAGGGCCAAGAAAGGCCACCCTACGCCATGCTCAATGCATCGTTTGTGATTATGGGTCTTTGCTGAGGTGCAGGAAGCAGTAATACTAATCTCATCTGCCACTTTGCAATTTACAATGCACTTTTACATATGCCGCTTCATTTGCTCCTCCTAAGTCCTGCTGTGAGGGAGATAGCATCAGCCTGATTTCTCTTTTGTCCCCATGAGGAGAGGCGTTCAGGGGGTGGTGGGGGTGTTAAGTAATTCTGCTGTGAGGGTCTGTGAAGTTAGCAGGTTGCAGCTCTGGGGTGAGTCTAGCGTTGCTTCTCTGAGTCACCTCCTTTCTAAGACCTCCTCTTTTATTATGTTCCAAACACGGACACCTGGCAAAGCTCAGACACGTTGTTTAGAAGTGGGCCTTTCTGCACAGCCTCAGACACCCTGCTGTGTGCACCATGGCTCCAGGCCGTGTGCTGTGGACACCCACCCACCCTATGTGGCCCACAGGACACACCTATACACCAACAGATCAGAACCCTCCAGCCGTAGGAGCAGCAGAGGATTGAGTAGCCAAGAAGAGTAGCCAGTACTGACACTGACTGAACAGCCTGGTCCTCAGTTGCCCTGTCTGGACAGTGAATTTCTCTGTAGGGCTGTGGTGAAGACTAAATGAGATATGGTATATACATTATCTTGAACAAGCCTGGCACATGGTACATGTTCAACAAATGGTAGCTCTTACTGTACTTATTAAAGGATGCTAGACAAAAACGCAATGCGACCTGTATGTATAGAATACTTGGTTTCATCCTAGCTTAGGAACAGAATGCCTCAGACCTTCAGGGTGGTCTCCCTGCCCGTTCCCATGTGTACACTCACCCCTGTCAGCTCTGTGTCCTTGTTTTCGTTCAGAAATACAGTGGTCATAATACTGGACACCAGAAGGAGACAGCACAAGGACAGAAGCTGTTGCTTATTCATCTTCAATTTCCACAGCCTAGCATCTGGCCTCATGTGAAGGATTATCAGTAAATATTACTGAATGGATAGAAGGGAGGGAGGAAGGAAAAAAGATAGGGAGGAAGGAAAGCAGGAAGGAAGGAAGGAAGTCAACTGAAAAGTGAATGGATAATGCAAATTATGGTTTTCTTTGGCTGATCGGCCATCTCAAAACAGATCCTGGTTTCTTTTAAAGATGGGACTGTGATATTGATCTCCAGTCTCGAGGCCAGTGGGACGAGGGGGGCTATGTGGGCAGACACGAGTGAAAGCCTTGTACCAGGGAACATGGGTTCTCTTTCCACTCCCTGACTTCTCCCACATGGCCCTTCCCGTCAGAAACCCGGGTCAATCCGGAGCTACCAGCGACCCAGGGCCAGGTGAGGCAGCAGCCCCAGCACACCTGCCCAGGATACGGCTGCTGTGCACCAGGCAGGGCCCAGAGAAACACGCAGCCATGTGCTGCCGGAGAGCAGAAGCAGCAGTGCTGGGCACTGAGGCGTGGCTCCAGCACAGCTGCTCAGGGGGCCAAGACCCAAGCGTGTTCCTCCGGGTTCAGCATGTCTGCGGAGACAGGGTCAGAAGGTGAGGACCAGACAGGGGCCAGTCACTGAGGTTTCCATGTGCTCCCTCTCTCCCCTTCTGTTGCCCCTCCCTGCTTAGTCAAGGCCCCCATCTCCTCAGTGCTGTCTGAAGCTGCCCCAGTCCTACCCCGTCCTGCCCATGCTGCCCTCATTCCTGAGGCTCCCGGGCAGCTTCTCCCCCTCACCCATTGGGAATGAGGGCTCTCATCACAGGAGAGGGAGGTATTTCTCCCCAAACCAGTTGCTGTGAGATGATGCCAGGAGGGAGCCGAGGCTGGCATGAGACCCCCACTTGCCTGCCCAACGGTATTCAATGGGGATTTATTGTTTTAATCAAAGTACTAAGCTAAACAGGGAGTCCTGGGATTCTCACCCCGGCATGGGGCCCAGCAGCTCCAGGAATCTGTAGGGAGATCTCTGAATAACAGTCCACACAATGCACAGTGGATTCTTTTTTGGAGGGCGGCAGACCCCTCCCCTGCAGGGTGACAGTGGGTGAACTTGGAGGAGCATGTTCTAGGTTCCCTGGTCTGAGCTAGGAGAACGAGTGTCTCCTATTGGCCTCCATGCCTCAGTCAGGCCTCCGATCATTACTTCTTGAGAGTTCTGTATCCGTAGCTGAGCTGCCCCTTGCCCTGCTGTACGTTCCTGAGCTGACCTTACCACAGCCTTAAACTTTTCCAGAGCAGTTGATGAAAAGCTCCTCCCTTCTTACTTGTCCTCCCAGCCCTGCAAACTGCCCCCAACAGAACAGCAAGCTCAAACTCGGGGAAGAGGGGTTTATCAAGGCCGTGGTGCCAAGGTCTCAGTAAGGATCATAAATTGGAAGCCTGGCCCAGGTGACGCGGATCCACAGCTGGGGCAGGACTCCAACCAAGGGGCCACATGCCTGCCTTTCTGTGATGGGACTGTGACAGATGGGAGATATCAGAGGCGTTCAAGCCAAAGAGCCTGGAGGCAGGTCCCAGTTATGTCACTTCCTAGCTATGTGACCTCAGGCAGAGCACTTGACCTCTCTGGGCCTCTCCCTCATCTGTCGGGGAGGATGACACCACAGGATGGTTGTGAGGATCAAGTGAGATAAAGTATGTAGACTCGCATAAACCACGAGGCACCGGACAAAGGCAGGTTGCTATTACTATGGCTTCTGGGGCCCAGGTGGAAAGGGCAGAGGACCAGAGGCCAGACTTCTGGGAGAAGAACTGGAAAGCTCAGTCCCTGTAGATAACCCCACACGCCGGGTTCCATAACCCTAAGGCCCAAAAAGCTCCAAGGGCTGTGGCCTCCCTGCGGGAGCCACCTCTGACAGTGAGCACACAATGAGCAGCTCCCTTCAGAGCAGCCAGAATAGGCATTCATCAAAAGGCAAATAGAAACGCCGCCAGGGCTGACCTCTTCGCCACCGCTCCTGGGGAAAGACTTTGTTTTGCAAGAAAGGAGGGGGCTGCTCCTCCTCTCAGTAAACAAACTCAGCCATTCAATTAGTTCCTGCGAGGTGTTGATCACGCCACGGGAACAGGCCGCAGCCCCTGCCTCGCAGCGGTCTGCTTCTGTGACTCCGCCAGGCAAATCAAAGAGGCAGCCTCAGGTGACCTTGTTTCATCTCAAACACACACAGGACCCCTTGTCTCCTAAAACTCATGCTGTCCCGTATGCACGGTTCTCAGGCCAAGACCCCCACCTGTAGTCCAGTCCTTAAAAAGGGGAGATGGCACGAGGGAACGGAGTTCCTAGAAATGGGCACGGCAGGGGACGGAATTCAGGGGGATGAAACTCCAAATAGGTGTCCAGGAATGTAGGTGGGGAGGGAGAATGGCATCGCAGGATGCATAAGAAGAATGGAGAGGGGCAGCACGAGGGCAGAGGGGACCGGGACACTGCGAGGCCTCCTTTCTCTGGTTCTCTCAGATGCCATAAGGAGAAAACCTGGCTGAGTGTTGAGGTAGAAGGCTTCTGTTTACAGCCATCTATCTCCCATAATTAGCCATTTAGGAAGAAAATAGCCTTCAAATTCAAAGGTAAATTGACTTACATTGGGATAATAACGTTTGATTGAGCACGGGAAGTTCATCTTTAGAGTATGAGAGCAAACAAATTGCTTTTCTTCCCCGGTGCTTGGAAAGAAACGAGATGAGATTGCAGGTGCTCCCGGAGCTGTGTTCCCATCGCCTCAGGGCATTAGCAGACCCAGGGCTGAGCTGCAAAACCCAAGGTGCCCACGGCAGCCGCTCAGTCTCTCTGCCAGTTGTTTTCTGATCCTTGTTCTGGAGGGTTTTAAAATTATATTGCATCACATTGATGCAGCAATCAGTTATTATTGTCAACAAGAGCATGAAGAGACATAAATTCTCTCCCTTAGATAGAGGCTGGTTCATAAATACATTTCTTTATTGCTTCCTAGATTGGAAAGATTGCTGTGTGCTTTGGCTTCCTGGAACATCGTGGGGCTGGGGGAGGAGGGAGGACAAAGGGTTTTAAATTTCGCTTCTGACTAGGGTTGTGAAATAGTGGGTAATTTCCTGAAGAGGTCACTGGATGCTGACCTTCCTGGGGTAGGAGATGCGTGGAGGGGTGAGAGAGAGAAGGGAACATGCAAATAATTAAAATAGAATGCTCTGATATAGACAAAACTGATGGGTGACTGGGAGAGGGAACAGTAACCCTAACTGATGAAGTCAGGGTCTTTTTTCCCAGAGAAGGAAAGTTTAAGCCAAGTTTTGGAAGTGAATGATCAGAGGTGTATAAGGAGCTCTTCGTTGCATACTTTGGATTCTGGCAAAAATTCAAATTTTACTTATCTTCCTAGTAGAAACCAGGAATCATCTCATTGGAGCTCTATTTCAGCTATGTCTTTCTTCCATTTTTTCTGATCATGTGTGTTTGGAGTAAGAGTAAAGGGATTTGCACAGCCCATAGATTTGAGTGTTGGAGTGGGGTGGTTGATGGAGTTGCACATGCACCACCCAAGTGGCTAGCTCGTGGGTACGAAAGGTTTAAGGACCTACAGTTTAAGTACAGAAGAACAAGGCAAGAAACACATTTCTTCTTAGCTAATAAGGACCTATATTAGTTATCTCTTGCTGTATTAAAATTAGCAGCTTAAGACAACAGATATTTATTATCTTTAAATATATGTGGGTCAAGAATCTGGGCACAGCTTAGATGGGCCCTCTGCTTCAAGGTCGCTCCCAAGGCTACAATCAAGGAGTAAGTCAGGGCTTTGCCATCTCAAGGCTTACCTGGGGCAGGGTTGGCTTCCAAGCTCACTCACTCCAATGCTTGTCAGCTGGATTCAGTTCCTTGCAGGCTGTTGGATTGAGAGCCTCAGTTGCCCACTGGATACTGGCTACAGGCCACACTCAGTTCTTGTCACGTGGGCCTCTCCAATGCAGCAGCTTTCTTCATCAAAGCAAGCATCTGAGAAGAAGAGACAGAGAGAAAAAGAAAGCCAACAGGACAGAACGCGCAAACCAGTCTTTTATAACTTGACTACAGAGGTGATAGCCCATCACTCTCACTGTGTTCTATTGGTTAGAAGCAAGTCACCAGGTGTAGCCCATACTCAAGGGAAGGGAGCACACAGGGGTCTGAAAACCAGGAGGCAGGAGTAATTGGCAAACTGCCCACCTTGGGATCTTGGCTGTCTGTCAAGTTAAGTCCCCTGATGCTAGACTAAGAAAATAGAAACCAGCTGGGGTCAAGCCAGGAACAGAGCCTTGGTCTTCTGGCTCTTTCTCCAGGGCCCTTCAATCACAGTGAAGGTTACACATCAGAGGGTCATTACTGTATGGACCAGAGACAGGGGGGTTCCTGGAGAAGCCTGATTAGAGCTTCTATATGCAAGAGCTGTAAGCAGGTCCCCTTCAGAGGCTTTTGGGGATACCAGGTATGTTGGCTAGGCATGAGGCATGACAGACCCCTAGTGGCTTCCATTTGATGGAAAAGACAAATGGGCCCCTACTTTCTATGTGGGCCTCTATGTCTCTGACTCAGATCTAGCCACATACCAGAAGAGAAAGGGGGTGAAGCAGAGACCCGCACAGGGGAGCTAGAGGAATAAACAGCCCAGGAAGAGCTGGTCACCTTTTCATGTTAAGAGTTAAAAAGAACAGAGAAGAAGAAGAAAAGAGTCAGGCAATGGAATAGCAGGTGCAGCCGAAAGCGTGCCTGCCTCAGAGAGTCCATTAGGGGCCAAGACACCGAGCAGGGACAATGCGCCTGAGACAATGGAAGCAGCTGAAAAGCCCTGGAAATTGGGTGTGCAGACTCCTGCTTCTGGGATGTCTTAACAGATTAATAAGGCTTTTGAGGATTTCCAGAAACATTTATATGAGTCAGAGCCCTAAGAGGGGCCAATATGGGGCTCTTTGAAGCTTCCCTTTTAGCAGCTTGAAACAGCAGATGTCTCTGCACCCAGCAAGGAGGGGTGAGGCCTGGGCAAGCCAGGGAAAAGCTATTGTGTCTCTAGAAAATGGGAGCCCACAAGGGGACTTTATAACAGCCATTGAAGTCTGAAGGCAGGCACATTCCTTAGTTTGGGAACAATTATCTGGCCAAACAATGGGAGGTAGGCAGCCACTGCTCAGGCAAAAGACCACATGATCTTCAGACTGGGGTTGAGAACATTCTAAGAAGTCTAAGAGTGGGCCCTACAGGTCAGAAGTAACGCTTGCAAGGCAAAGCTTGAATTATTATTCCCACTGCAGAGGTAAGGAAACCAAAGCTCAGAGAAATTAAGTGACTTGCCCAAAGTCCCTCAGGAGTGAATGACAGAGTGGGCAATCAATGTGTATCAGTTTGGCATTCAACTGGGTGTAGCAGAGATCCAAAGTAAGAGTGGCATAAGCAAATTAGGGATTTGCTTTTCTCTCACATAAAATGAAGCCTAGGGGTAGGCGGGCAGACCAGCCTTAGCACTGGCTTCCATTCTTAGGTCATACCTCATGATCATAAAATGGCTGCTGAAGCGCCAGTCATTAGCCCCACATTTCAGGCCGGAAGAAGAAAGAAGAGGAAAGGACAAAAGAGGTGCACCTCCCAGGTGAATCAGCCATCTTTAAAGAAGGCTACCAGTGATTTCTGATTATTTCTCATTAATCACTTCTAGCTTCTTAAGGAAGGCTAGGAAATCCATATTTGGTTAACTTGGATAACTTGCCACACCAACAATGAAAGTATTGTAATGGTAAATAAATAGGAGAATGTATATTAGGTAGGCAAATAGCACTTTTTGCCCCAAGACCCAAATTTTCTGAATCTAAATCCAAAATTCTTTCCACTTCCTATATGGTCTATCGAAACCATGAACAAAATGTGACACAGACTACTGAGCACTTCCAAACCCTCTGACCCTGGCAAAGTCTCTGAATGCTTCACCATTCAGAAAGTCCCGCTGCCCAGACATTGGTGTGAGCCAAGAACTCCAGGAAAATATTCTTGCACCTGCTCATTAGCTATTGGCTGGTCCAAATCTCTTCTCTAGGAGGTGTGTTCTACTCTGCTCAAATTACCTCAAGTCTCTACTTCTCTTAGGGGTATAAGCCAGGCACAGGTCTTTGTTCTCACTGTACAATCCTCATAGGATGCTATGGGTGACTTAAGTGGCTGCTATGCTCTGCTTCAGACGGAACTGTATTTCCAAATGATACAGTATTGACCGAGGTAGTAGAAAAGTGAACACAGGAATGGGTGCAGAGGATGGTGACCAATTGCATACATTTTTGTTAATTCCCCAGCCATCAGGGGTAAGTTGCCACATTCTGCCCCATTGCTATCAACATTTATTCCATGTCAGGGACCACAAGGGCTCCATTTTTCACTGGCACAGCAAACAAGGGGCTCCACAATCCTCTGTCAGGGAAGGCACTCAAGAGAATCTTGGGACCACTTGCCCTTTGAGACCAAAATAGTTTGGAGCTCCACGTGGGAACTGTGAAGCTGACAGCAAAAGAATGTGACAGGGTTGTCCTTCCCACCAGCTTCCTCTCTCCCTGTTTCCAAATTTCTTCCTGTGACATTTCAAGTTACAAGGCTCCCATCTCAGAACTTTGACTTTGAATGTCTTTTCATATTGGCCTTAAAGAAGATGGTGTCGTCAGTGACCTTTTTAAAAGACCACGGGGACTTAATTAAAAACTAAACTTGGCCACTTAATTCAGATGGTCCTGTCGACTCCTCGGCACTGACGTGAACTCAGCCTTGTCAGCTTGCAGCGGGCTACTAGCACTGCCCTTTGGTGTCCTGACATTGCGGAGTTGCAGAGTGACAGGCAGGCTCTGGCCCAGGCTCCAGGACCGGTGAGGCTGCTCTTGGCGAGAGAACCCCCTGCCACGGAAAGCCAAGGACTCTGATTGGGCGGGTAGTTCTGGGTAACTCGTGCCGGGAATGGCCCTCCAAAGGGAGAGAACGGAGGCACAGGGATATTGGTGATGGCTAGTGTAGATCAAGGGAATTTCTCAGAGGTCTGTCTGGCTACCACACTCCAAAATTCTCCTAGGTCCCTGCTTTCCTCTGAGTGATTTCGTAAAGAGACTAGAGCCCGTATAAAGCCCCATCCTGCTTCCTCCTGCTGCTGTAAAGATTCTAGAAACTGGTAGATGGACCTGCAGACACTCATCCTCTAGGCCAGGAAACTGCAGCACGGGCTCTGTCTCTCTTACCCAGGACCAGAAGCCATCAAACTCGTCTGGAAGACCAGACTGGGTGGTTGATTCGGTTCTTATTACCTTATTAATAGTTGCATTCGTTCTCCCTTCCTGGAAGAAGAAAGCTGGGCTCAAGATGCGTAGGTGAGCTGTGAAGAGCTCTGTGCTCCTAAGACAGAATGTAGAGCTCCATGCAGAGACACCTCCTCCCCACTCCTGCATGCCTGCCAGAAGTCAGGGAGCAGAGTCACTTTCCAGAGAAAACCCATCTCTTCTTTACCTGGCCACATCAGATCACTGTCAACTCAATGCAGCTAAGAAACATGGCAAGAACAGATCTTGGCCCTGGGGCCGAGGTCATCACATTCCTACCTTCCCCTCTTCAGAAGGAAGAGAGTATAGTGAGAGGAGACCTAGAGTCTAGCACTTCCCTCACTAACTGGCTGTGTGACATTGGGCATGTTACTTTACTTCTCTGGGCCTCACTGCCACCTCTAAAAATAGGGCTGATACCTTGTGGCTTATCTGCAGATGATGATCTTGTAGGTTTCCTTTCACTTACGTTTGTTTGACAATGTACTCAGCATCTACCATATGCCAGGTGCTGCATTAGATCGAAGGATGAGGCAGCGAACAGAGCATTCTTGTTGGTTGCTCCATGGGCGTGAACACCGGATGTCAGAGCTCCTGGGACTTCATGGGCAGGTGACTCTCAAGACTGGTGAACAGCCTATGGAGAAGGCAGCTCCGTCACTAGCCAGGCCCATAGGGCTTTCCGCTGGGTTCACCAGAGTCTAGAACAGAGAAATTTATCCTGGGGGACTTTCCTGCCTTCCTAGGGGCCAAGGGCTCCCCACCTGCTTAGAGACCTCAACCACTTTCCTCTGCTCCTAAGCGATGAAACACAGCACCAGCCTATATTCTGACCCTTAATCATTGTTGATTACAATTCTTTATGACCATAGACACATACCAAAGAAAGCCTTGCAAAACCAGATGCTGTTTATGCCAGCAGAGCTAGAGAAGGTTCTGGAAAGGATGTCCTGGCTGGCTTCTGTCACTGCTGGTCACCTGGAGGCTTTTATGTCATCAGGGCTTGTCAGTTCTTGCTGTCCCCCATCACTCCTAAGGGGGTGGTGTGGCCTGGCTGCAGGTGCCTGGTGGCCACTGGATCTCCCTGGAAGAAAAAGAACTCATTCTAGTCCTATCTATGCCACTGACTAGCTGTGTGGCCTTAAGCAAAGGACACAGTCTCTGAGTCATAGCAGCTGAGTCCTCAGTAAGATGGGGCTCACAATGCATCCCTTACTGGTTGTTGTGAAATTAAATGGGATAACTCAGGTAAACACTTGGTAAACTAAAGAGGCTCAAATCAAGGCCAAGTTTAGGATGAGGAAGACCTTGATAAGGGAGAAATAGTCCAAGACCTGAGTCATCAGCTAAGACAGGAGCCACACAGAGCCCCCCAGTCCTGGGCAATAAACCTCCTGGGACAACTAGCCTGCTGGGCTCCACTTTGCCAAGGGCCCTGCCAGCTCCTACACTGCCCTCAGCTCCTACACTGCCCTCAGCTCCTACACTGCCCTCAGCTCCAGATCTCTGGAGCCAGGCTGGAGAGGAGGCTGACTGCAGCTCCTTTGTCTGCCCAAAGTGGACATCCACCCCCACCCCCTCCACAAGTGGGTTAAGAGCCTTGGAAAGAGAAGAGAAGGTCGGTGAAGTGGCTCTCGAGTGCTCTCAGCCGGGCTGACAGCCCACAGGCCTTGTCACCATCCCCACAGCTGCATGAAAACAGAGCCACGGCAGCTGGGGGAGCTCTGTGCCCATCTTTGGGGCACGCTTAGGACGGGGTGCTCCACGCCTCACAACCCAGAAGGCCCCTGAGGGTCAGAGGGCCCAGGGCAGCTGCAAGGTGACTTTCACCAGGAGACACTGTTCCCCCTCCCAGGGGCTGAAGAACAACTAGGGCAAAGCGCACGTGGCGGAAACGCTAACAGAAAAGATCGAGCGGCTCCTAAACACAGGTTCTGTCGCTGAGGCTTCAGAATTTTATATGAGCTTTAGGACAACGACCCCTTCTATGTTCTATTCAGAGTCTCTGCCTTTCTATGAGGACCTGTAGCTGGACAGAGGAGAGTTGGCCAGGAGCGTGGGTTAGAGAATTTAAGAGCTGGCCTTAGAGATAGTTTCTGCTGCGGCCTCATTGCACTCTTAAAGGCACCACTCATGAGGCCTCTGAGGCCCAGCAAGGATAAATGATCGCCCAAACTCTCCAGCAGTTCCCCGTGCTGTGTGGAAAGAAAGAAGGGAAAACGAGGCTAAAGGAATTCTAAAGTTACACAGCTAAAAATGTGGAAGGAGCTGAGATTTGACAGTTTCCAGCGAGTCCAAACTCACGCTCTTTCTCCTACTCCCTGTAACTTCTCCAAGAAGATTGGAGTCTAAAGGGGGCAGAGTTTCCTTGAGGAGCTTCTGGTCCAATGAGGGAGATGGAATTCATCCAGGTGGAAAGGACCACAAAAAAAAAAAAAAAAAAAAAAAATCACAGTACGCCATGAATCCTGTGGCTCCGATCCAGTCCCCAGCCCTACCCTGCACCTTACTCTTAGTTGTCACCAACTCCTCCATCCTTCCCTCCCTTCCTCTTCCGCCCGCCTTGTTCTCCAGGTAGATGAGTCCCACAGCTTACTTCAGATCTCAGGCAGGACCTGTGACCAGGAGGCAGGGGTCGAAGATGGGAGGATACACTGTGCCAATGGACAGAGGGAAGGGCGCCTGGGGATGTGATGTCTGTGCCAATGCACAGAGGGAAGGGAGCCTGGGGATGTGATTTCTTTTCCCCAATAAAGCGGAAGGTGAAAGGCAGGAGTTTCGGCAAATGTCGTCCCTTTGTTCTGTCTTTATGATCTGTCAGTCTGGAAGCGTTCATCTGCATCCACCACTGGACAGAGTCCAGACCTGGCCTTGCCCTCTGGGTGGGGAGGGACAGTTGTATTGCACCACTGGATCCCCTGAGTCTCGCAGTGATGGCAACGGTGCAATGGGCTAACCTGAGCAGCTCCCTGGAGAGGTGATCTGAGAACCATGACTCAGAACCTGGCTTCCCAGCTTCCTAGGGCTTAAAAATCCTCTTGAGAATCTACTAAAAGCTATGAATGTTCTCTCTCCCTAAGGCTAAGATGCACATTCACTCAGAATTAAGGAATTGCACAAGTTCTGCAAATCATTCCACTCTGTGCAGGCCCAGACCCCCATGGATGACCCCCGTTCTAGATTGTCTCATGCACACAGAGCAACGTGGCCATGGAGAAATGACCAGCAGGCAAGCAAGTTGGTGAGGAGAACAGACAGCAGGCCACAGGGCCAGCCGGGTGTTCACTGCCCACCTGTACCCAGAGGGGGTTACAGCAGGTTGGGAGGTGCTGGCCTGGCCTGCCTACTGCATCCAATTAGCACAAGGCCCCCTCCCTGCTCTCCACAGTGGGCGGAGAGTGGCTGTGGCTTGGAGCTGGGGACAGTGTGACGAGGCTGCTTGCTGCCATCAGCCAGAGAGAGCTGGTGGTGTGGAAATGCTGGAGCCCCTGCAGCCTCCCGATAACGGTACTAAATAAAGGTAATTTTCAAGTCACCAGTTAACAATGGCTGAGCACACAAGCAGTGACCGATGAGTCAGTCAATTACAGGGCAAGCTGTGGGGGATACGCTCTGAAGAGCCTCCTGGCCCATGGTCTGCGTCCACACAAGGGTGACCTGCGGACGACAGCATCCTGGTTCTGTGGGAAGCCAAGCCCACAGCATTTGTCTCTCCAAAGCCCTGGCATTTTTCCTATTGGAGAACCATTCAGACACGCTGCAAGTCAGCTGAAGGGATGGGAGCTGGAGGCTTCAGGCCTAGAAGCCCTTTGTGCAAGCCTCCTAACATGGCTGGACCATGTGCCTGCTCCCCTCAGCCCTCCCACCCCAGCTGGCTCCTAGTCCTCTCACAGGAAAGAAAGGCATGCCAGGTCTAGCCCTCTGCTATGAGCGACAGCCTGCATCTGTTCTCTCAACAACAGGCCTTTTCTGCCTGAACTGAGAGTGTCTTGCTCTCAGCCCTTCCCTGCTCTGACCACACCCAGCTCAATACTGCAGCTTTCTCTTCCCAGAGCACACAGAAAAAGGCCTTACCTGGGACTGGTGCCAAATTCACATCTTCCCCAAGGCCTCCCCTGATGTGCCTCCTGGGCTCCCCACCCTGGCTCCCTCCTCCCTTCCCTCTGGCCCCAGGTGCACTGCTCCCTGCACAGCAGGCACACAGGGTGTACTGTGTGGGTTTTTTGCCATGGTCATTTACATCCTGATGTATTCCATCTCCCTCAACGGACCAGAAGCTCCTGGAGAAAACTCTGCCCCTTTAGACCCCAATCTTGTTGGAGAAGCTACAGGGTGTAGGAGAAAGAGCGTGAGTTTGGAATCGCTGGAAACTGTCAAATCTCAGCTCCTTCCACTTTCTTAGCTAGGTAACTTTAGACTTCCCTTGGCCTTGTTTTTCTCATTCATATAAAGGGAACAATGGTACCTTCATAGTACTGTGTTGTTATAAGGATTAAGACATAGCATTGTATAGTAAGACATAGTATTATAAGGATTAAGACATAGTATTTCTCATCCGTATAAAGGCAACAATGATACCTTTATAGTGTGGTGTTGTTATAAGGATTAAGTTATGGTGTTGTTATAAGGATTACGACACTAACTGGAAAATACCTAGAACAAGGCCCGAGGCATCACAGGCACCCAGTACACGCAAGTCCCCATCCCAGGGGCTCAACCAAAAGTCCTGGAATGTTATTTCACGGTCCACCTAGGGCTGTGAGCAAGTCCTCAGGGGTCCCAGCCCTGGCACTGTACCCTGAAGGATGTGATGGGGTGGGAGCTGTTGGCCCTATGAGAGGCCTGTGTTGCTTGGGCTCCAGGGGTGGTGAGGGGGCCCAGCTGCTGACTCAGGCCTGCCTTTCCTCCTGCCAGGACTTCCTACTTAGTGGCCAAGCATAAGTTACTTAAACTTTCTGAACTTTAGTTTCCTCACTGGTAAAACAGAGCATGGTCATATATATGACAATGTGATATGAACTGTAAAGAGCCTGACTTAGTATCTAGGACATGGCAGGTGATGAAGAAATTGTAGCGATGTTTATAGTTCTCCTGTTCCTCACCCACTTCAGGCCTTCAGGACAGAGAGCTTCCTCTGAATAGCCAGATTCTTCTAGAAGCACTACCACCCTGATGGGGCCCCCAGAGCTGACCTCAGGTCCAGGTGCAAGGCAGAGCATGGCAGGGATACACGAGGCTGGACAGAAAGAGCATGTGTGAGATCTTGGGCAAGATGTAGAAGCCCTCTAAGCTGCCATTTCCTCATCACTGGAAAGTGCAGGTTACGTGTGCAGTAATGCCCTGCCTGTTACGACCAGCTGGGGCCAACCTTGCACAAACTTCCCACCAGAACACACAGGATTTTGCCCTAAAGGATGTATGCCTTTAGGTTAAGGGATTCTCCTGGCGAAGGACTGTTACCTATGGAATACAGCTGGTTACAAGCGTCCAGCCAATCGTTAGATGTTAACACCTTAATACAGCATTCGAATCAGATGACTTTTGGGGTGTAGGTGTGGGGGAGACAGGATTTCCCTCTGCCACCCAGGCTGGAGTACAGTGGTGCAATAACGGCTCACTGCAACCTCCACCTCCTGGGCTCAAGCGATCCTCCTTCCTCAGACTCCCAAGAAGCTGTGACTACAGGCACACACCACCATGCCCAGCTAATTTTTGTATTTTTAGTAGAGACATAATTTTACCATGTAGCCCAGGCTGGTCTCCAACTCCTGAGCTCAAGTGATCTGCCCAACTCAGCGGCCTCCCAAAGTGCTGGGATTACAGGTGTGAGCCACCGCACCCAGCCAGATCACTTTCTAATAAGCAGATCCTCAAGGGAATGGGTGAAATGAGACATACAGGACAAATTTAGATGAAAGAAGGAGTGGGGAGAACAGGGGTGGAAGACCTGGGTAGGATGGCCAGGAAGGGAATGATCCCAAGAAGGGCAGCTCCTGCTACCAAGGTATCTAGGAGGACAGAGACTACAGGCTGCGTCCCCAGCCTCCTTGAGCCTGGTGCAGCAGCCCCCACAGGCACAGCTCAGGCCCGAATTACACCCTCCATCACTTTCCCACTGAGGCTGAAATTGGGGCAGATCGCTCACCGTGCAGTGGCAATGACCTTCACAGACCATTTCTCCTCCTTCCAGCCCCCTGCTTACCTGAGACCATGTTCTCTTTCTTCTGCCGCGTCCACAGTGAGCCACAGCAGGGCCGCATGCAGCCATGGCAGACACAGCCCTTGAGGTGGGGACCGCTGGGGTGTTGCAGACCTCAGCCACACAAAAGGTCTGCCACAGCATCTAATTTCTGGAAGACTTAGGGATTTAAGGCAGAGCCCTGCAGACAGGGCTGGCTGAAGAGCCCCATAGGAGTCGACTCTGGGAACTGGGGGCCCAGGAAAGTGGGTGTCATCTTAGACTGCATTAATTGCAAAGCAATTTTTGAAACAGAGGGAGGTAATGTTCTTCTGGGCTTTGCTTGGTCGGGCTACATCTGGAATTTTGGGTTCAGTTCTAAAAATCATTTTGAAAGGAGATATTAACAAAACAGAATAACCAAGGTAGTTAAGGTCAAAAAACCGTATCAAATGAGGAAGAGGCAAGTCTGTATAATGGTTAGGTAGGCAGACCTCAGAGTCCGGTTCCTGGGTTTACATTTGAGCTCAACAAATGCTCAACAATGTAAGCCAGAGTTAGTGTCCAGACTGGTGTTGAGATCAGCTTCCAAAGGACGGTGGCATGCGCTGCTGTCGTGGCCCTGGCTGGTTCAGAGGGAGCCCCTGCTCCTAAGGATGGGGCACAGCAGAAAAAGGAGTGTTCAGGAGTGGCTGAGCAGAGCCTCAGCCAGCAGCTGAGACACTAGGCAAGGTCTAGCCCCAGCCCCAGGAGGCAGGGATGAAATGCCAGCAAGGTCAGGTGAGGCGGCAGGATAAAGTGGCAGGATAAAGCTTGGCACACTCCCAAGCTTCAATGACTGGTGCACTCGTGGAGAAACTGAGGCTGGGAGGTAAGGGGCTGTACTCACGCCCTATAGGGACCTCTGTGTCATGGATGACTCAGTGCCGGAGAGACGGGATGTGCTTTGAGTTCAGAAATGTGGGAGTGTTTGTCCCAGCACTGCTATGTGATGAGCCGTGTTACTATGCACCAGTGACTCAGCCTCTCTGAGATTCCATTTCCTCCTTTGAACACAAGAGTACCTACAGGGTTAAGACCAAGGGGAAAAAACTTAAGACAACTGACACGCATAGCTCTCTCTCAGTTTCCCAAGCCCATGGGGCCCTGAGTCCCAGCCTGCTGGTGGGCGGGCGGAGGGCGGCTGCTACAGCCCTGCCTGCCTTGACCAGGAGCAGCACAGTTCCGAGACAAAGTTGGCCACAGTGCCCCCATCCAGGAGGAGTCAGAGGGCATCCCCACACCCCACCAGACTGTAGCTTCTGTTCCCCTGCACTCAGACGCTGCCGACAGCCCAGACTCCTTCAGCTCTGGAGGGCTTGGAGGGCCCTTCATCTGCCATTGTGTTATTTGTTGTCCCTGTTGTCGTGATGAACAGAGGAGAAATATTGTCTCCAGCCAGAGCCGCTGGAGGCAGACACCTCGAGAGGCAGCAGCTCCGGGGCAGCAGTAATTGCTCTGATTGGAAGGCATTTCCTCAGGTTGCTGGAAGCGACTGGGAGAGGCAGCTAGTGCGTGGATGCCCTGGGTTCCAGGAAAATCCTGGGGGCTTGCAGCCCCATTGAAGAATGAGTGCCAGGCTCCACAGCCCAAATTGCTGTCCTCTCTTTCTCCCCGCAGCAAGCTCCCTGCTGGAATGACTGATGCCCTCGGTCTCCCCTGGTCCCCCACCAGCACCACCTTCTTCCCACCTCAGCTCACTTGTTCTCAGGAGACAGAATTCCAGCTCCACTCATAAATCCATTCATTTGACGTATATTTCCTGAGCACACCTCCTAATTGCCAAGCTGTGCTCTAGGTGCTTGGGATTTATCAGGGAATAAAACAGCTCCCTGTCCTTGTAGGCCTTACCTTTGAACCAGGGAGACAGACTCTAAACAAAAGCATAATAAATTGGTAAATTATATAGAATGTTATAGCATGTTCAATGCTATGGGGAAAATAGAGCAGGGGAGTGAGGAGGATTGGAGTGCCCAGGGCAGGTGCAAGGTTTGGACTCCAAAGGGAAATTCCAGCAAGGACTCCTCTCTTTCCCCTCCCTGCCTCAGGGCCCCCGGCAAGGCTCCACCCAAACCCCTCCAGGTTGCTGTTCCAGGGAAGGGGAGTCCCCAGATTCCACTGGAGTCCCCAATTCCTATTCCCACCCCTACCAGCCAGCATAGCCCTCCCAGGTAACTTGCATATTGCAAAGCACTTTTAACATGCAAACACATCCTATTTAAGCCCCTCTTCAAGGACACCCATGGCCAAGTACACTTCTTCTCATTTTGTGGATTAGGAAGCTGGGGGTCAGAGAAGCTGAGTATCAAAGGGCAACACCACACATCTCTAATAAGTGGTAGAGCCAGACCTTGATCAGGACTTTGACTCCCCATCTGAGCTCTCGGCCAGTGTCACTCTCACGCCCATGATCTCATTGCATCCCACAATGATTCTATGAGCCGGAAACAATAAATCCCATTTTGCTGATGGGAAACTAAGACTAGAGAGTTTAAGTAACTAGCCCAAGGTCACACAGCTAGCAAACGGCAGATATAGGACTTGTCCACAATCTACCACATGGCCCAATGCTCTCCCGCTGAGCCCTAGATCTGAGTCGTGCAGTCCACCTCTCCCTTCTTCCTAAAGCCCTCCAAAGACAGACCTCTGCCCCTCCCTGTACCAGGGCCCAGCTCCCCTTAGAGTCATTCATTCCGTGCATTCACTCACTCCCACGAAAACTGAAAAGAAGAGAAAAGATAGATGGCAATGAGAATTGTGTTCAACTATTTTACTTAAGTCATAATCATTCCTAATCTAAATTTGCTGGAATGTATTACACAACCTAATCATTCACATATATTGTACTGCGGTTTCAATTTAGTGAAAAGTAAAAGCCATTCAGAGGCAGAAATATGTTAAATGAACATCTCCCAGATTACAGTCCTTTAGCGAGATAAAGTGCAACCAGATTTTTTTTTTTTTTTTTTTAAATTCAGGAATTGGTGCTGCCTGCTCCTCTTTCAATGTGGGTGCATTTCTGGCTCCTCTTCCACACACAGTGAAAGGCTGGGGAAGTGGAGAGCACAATGAAGACTGCAGGCTACAGGGTTGGGGAGAGGGAAGGGCTGTGGGTTTGGGAATGTGACGGCTTCATGACCCACTGCTCCTGATTGGAAAGCTGCCCAGCCAGGGTCTGCGAACTGCTCCTGGCTTACCTCTCTGCCTCATGCCTCACAGCTTCCCCTGCAGCTCTGCTCCAGGCCAGACCCAACATGCCATCACCAGAACAGAGCGTGTTCTTTCTGACCTTCCAGCCTTTGCACATGCTGCCTCCACAGCCTGGAACACTCTGCAGCCCCGTCTTCATCTCCCTGTCTATTTGTCCGTCGGGTTTCAGCTTGGCTGTCATGCCCCCAGTGGACATTTTCCAAGAACTGCCATGTCTGGAGGGTGGCTCTCCCTACACAACACCACAATGCTCTGGGCTCTTCCACTGGAGCATCCGTCACACTGCATCGTCGCTGTCTGTTGATGCATCTCTCCCACTGACTCCCAGTTCCTTGAGGCAGGGACTCTCTCTGGTTTACAGTTGTGCCCCCATGCTTAGCCATAGTAGGTGTTCAATGGATGTTCATTGACTGAATTCACCACCCCAAGCCTTCGAACAGTGACTTGCCCTTCTCCCAGTACTTTTAGGGCCCTTGCGGCATGCCTGCCTCCAGATCTCCCTACGAGCTGGGTCGGGCTTTATCCTTATCTGGATGGTTGGTCACCAAGATCCCCCAGCAGAACAGTGCCCAAGTGATGCGAAGCCATGTCCCAGCTCCTGACCCAGTGCCTTCACAGTGCCACCTTGTATCCACTACTTCAACAGGGACAAGAGGCAGCACCCAAGTCCTCACAGCCAGAGAAAGTGACAAAGCTTGATGTACCGTTGTAAACATTGAATCTGAAGCCAAAAGACCCGAGTTCAACTCTTGATTTCAGCTACGTGCAGTTTATGGTCCTGAACGAGTTACCTAATTAATCTCACTGAGCCTGAGGTTTATAAAATGGAAAGTAACAATACCTGATGCCTCTAACTGTTGTTAGGAAGAACTAATGACAAGCAGAAAGAGGGCGCAGTTATGTGCTTAGAGGCAGCAGTGCTCCCGTCAGTAGAGAGGCTGCGAGACCCTTTCGCCCGCTCAAGTTCAGTGAGAGGCTCTCAGCAAGACAGCTTCCTATTTGATGTAACTGTCCAGTCCGAGCTGGATTACCTAGTTACCTACTTACTCCTTCATGATTTAAACAGGGAAATAGCAGCGCTAGACAATGTGATTTTTATTGATTTTAGCTCTACGTTCTTCATGAACAAGGACACATGAGGAGTGGCCTCTCCAATTCAAGGTCCTCAGGTGCCTTTTCTGGACCAAATGTCTTGCTGTGTTTTCCCTAATGTGCGCCGAAATCTGAGCTCACCCCCGCCTCCCATCATCTGAACGCGTCCGGGGAGGGATCCTGTGGCTGAGTAATGCTCTCCAATAGAGGGTTTGTTTTTGAAGAGAGGAAGTAAAGAATAATGTTCCTGTTCCAAGCTGCTGAGGGAATTAGGAAGGCAGACGGCCATTACTCAGGCTGGAATCCTGCCAAGGCTTATGATATCATCTTTATTTGCCAAGAAAAACATCTCCCTCCTCTGTCTCAGGCAGCTCAGGGAAGCCGAAGCCCAACTCCAATCATGTTCCGTGCCTTAGGTTTAAGACACAGACGGAACTTAACGAGAGCGACGGTCGTTTACACTGATGGAGTACCTTTTAGCTAGATGGCCCCCCAGAGTGTGACAAGGCTTCAGGACAGACAAACAGACCGGCGTAGAGTGCTAGGCACCGCATCCCTTCGTTCCCACGTTCAGCAGAGGCGCATCCCCCAGGGCCTCTGCCACTTGGCATGAGGGTGGAACTCCAAGCAGTTTTCCTATCCAGTCCACGGCTTCCAAACTCTGTTAAGAAAGCAGGAGCTGGGAGTGAAGCCTCTTGATAAAATTCCACAAACTGTCTTGGTAAAGGTTAATTCCTGGCTGGGCGCGGTGGCTCATGCCTGTAATTCCAACACTTTGGGAGGCTGAGGCGGGCGGATCACCTGAGGTCAGGAATTCGAGAGTAGCCTGGCCGACATGTTGAAAACCCCTCTCTACTAAAAATACAAAATTTAGATGGGCGTGGTGGTGAGTGCCTGTAATCTGAGCTACTGGGGAGGCGCGGCACAAGAATTATTTGAATCCCAGAGGCAGAGGTTGCAGTGAGCTGAGATCGTGCCATTGCACTCCAGCCTGGCTAACGGATGAAGTCACAGTTGTCTGATATCTGATATTATTGAGTTAAGTGCCCATTATTGGGGTTGTGGCCTGTTGACAGTGACCCATGTGTGGTAGTGGCATCTGGCCTGCCACTTCAAGGGTGTCACAGTGGGGAAGCTCTGAACGACACCCCTCCTGCTTCGGCTTCAGTCCAGTTAGACATCGGAGAGAAGCTGGTAGTGTCATTGGCGGTGTTATTCTGAGTGCCCTGGTCCAGGAGGAGGAGAGCTAAGCCCACGTGGGACATGGAGAAAGGCCACCTTTGCTCCCCTCTGCCTGCCTCTGCAGCCAGGCTCAATCATACCCACAGGCCTGGGCTGAGCTGAGGAGCATGGACAAAATGAGTTTTCAGACTACTGGGGGCTTTGTATGGGGAACGAAGGGGCCCATCCCAGAGTTCAGGAGAGTAAGGAGCTGCCATCAGAGAGGGCTAACCTTGACAAGTTCCAGGGGCACGCAGAGGAGCGCATCCACAGGCGCTGACCAGACATTGGAGAGGTGTTGGAATAAGTTGTATAGGATCTAGATATGGCAGCAAAGAGATGGGAACGCCAACGCCCTCATTCCAGGGCACCAACCGTCCACACTGCCTGCGGACCGTGCTCCCAGGCTATGGTGATGGTCTGTTTTCCTTGCTCAAGCAAGCAGCCCACACCTGCAGAATTCGTCGGGTGCCCTGGCTGCCGCCACTGCTCAAATTTTACTCACGAGGATGGCTTTGTGACGGATGCATCATCTCATTTTCCTGGAAGTCCTGAGGGGCAGCCACCAGATTGTGCACGCTGAATGTCAGCTATATTAAGCTAACACATTCACATCATTGAAAGCCCTATTTACACATAATAAACATGGGGATAGTTGCCGTGGAGGAAATAATATAGTATTGATTAAAACAATGGCCTGTAATGCCTTCTGAAAGCCTGCAGCCACCAGCAGCCTCCACAGCGGGTTGCACACAGGCAGCCTCCCTACCTGGCTGCCTTGGGCCTGCTGTCAGCTGTCACTTTCTAAATGGAGGAGACAGGCATTTCCCCGGGCCAGGGTCGTGACAGCAGGAGCCTCCATTT